GACTTTTACTCTTTGTCCTTTGCTCACAACATCGGCAACGTTGGCAACCCGTCCTTCTCTTCGAAGCTCTGAGATGTGGACCAAGCCCTCCCAACGCTTCCTGTAGGTGAAACAGAGAACCGTATGACATTGACCATTATCACTCATGCAGTCCTTTAGATCATTCAAAGTCTAGATTAAAGTATTTTGTTGTCAACTAATTGTGTACGTTCATACACTGTGTTTTTTTCTAAGGAGAACATTATCTGCTGTCAGACTTATTTTGCTGAACCAGATCTTCATTCTGGCATCAAAACTCAGCATGTTTTATTATAGCATCACCTTTTTAAGACACTAGCAGAAAACAGAACACCGATGGAGCAGCACCAGATTTGCTGTGAACATCACAACATACCTTAGTCCTTCCAGCTGCACAAAGCACCCAAACTGCATTATACTCGTGACTTTCCCATTGTAAATGTCTCCGATGGAAGGCTCCTCAGGTGGAGGACGGTCTACGTGCTTGTCCCTCCATCTCTCACTGCCTTTCTCGAGATACTTCTCTCGATCCCTCCGGTCCCTACTAGGACTCCGACTCCTGCTCCGTGAGCGGTATCTGGATTTTCCCCTGTTCCTATCCCGAGTCCTTGAACGAGACCTAGAGCGAGATCTGTGCCTTCGTCTCCTGTCCCTGCTACGGCTTCGGCTTCTCCTCTTCTTCTTTGTCCTAACAAACCAACATTACATATTTGCACGTAAGAACAGAGCAAGCAGGCAATATTAACTGCCAATATCCATCCCTCAAAGATATTCTAGAACCATACCGGTGGTCACTGTTCCTCTGTTTGCCTTGCCTGTCTGCACTAGGCATCAGAGCTTCAAGTTCTTTAAGCGCATCAGCTGCCACTTTCACATCATCTTCATCCAGCATATTCTGCAAGAACAGAGAATCATTCTCTATGAAAGCTGATAAAAAGTCTGTTGCAGAGAATTAATCTACAGAACAATCTCATGCATTTCTATTCAGAAAGAATGCAAATTAAAAAAAGAAAGGATGAGACATAAAAAAAAAAAAAGGGATTATGATCTTACCCTTATGTTGGGATTGTCCGGCCTGCAAAGAGCTGGAAACAACTCCTTCAACCTTTCCTTTTCTGATTTGGGTTTGACAACGGTCTCTGATTTTGAGGTTAATAAAACAAACAAGCAAAAAATAAATAATTAGAAGGTCCAAAATGATCTATCAACAGCTTTTCTGTAATCAAATGCAAAGCTTAACTTTCATCTGAACGCAAAGTTAGATACAGATTTTACAGAGATTCTCTTCAACGATGATGTTACTTTCCTAAAAACACAGTTATGCATGAATCTGTGAGATATTAAATAGTCTGATCAGTGTGCTCGGTATGTTTTTTTGTATCTGAACAGCTTTCCTAACCCACCACTACTAACAGAGTCTTCCACATGCAACAGAAGGCTATGAAGATCTTGCCTTATAAGATTAGAATTTGTACTACATTGAGCTCATGCAGTATGGCTAAAAAATACAGAAGACTAGGAATTATGTTGTTTTTGTAGCTGTTTTTCCTTTTTTACACCTAACTGATGAAAGGGACAAGATTACACACACCTTTACTTGTAGTTGGTTTTGATGGAGGCCGCATTGTCTGTATGAGACGGAGCAAATTACTAATAAGGGAATCCTGCAAAATTTAAAACAATAGGTTAAGAAGCATCTGCATTACTTTTGGTCATTCTTACAAAACACAAAATAGAGGTAAATAGGGCAAAAAAGGCTCAGCTCTTAAGATGTTCACTTTAAAAGAGAAAAGTGTTGCTACATTTTGCTTACACCCAAAAAACAATATAACTTGAATCTGAAAGTGATTAAGATAAATCAATTTAAGTGATTGTTCCACTTATTCTTTAAGTATTTAAGCCAACTACAGTAGCTTCTGAGAAGCTCATTAACCCCGCATCTAAGTACCACAAAACGCTTTAAGCTAACACTTAACTCCAAGAAAATTTGTTTCTTCCGTATTTTATATGCTAAACAAGACAGGAGACAGTAAACAGCCTCAAAAGGAGGCTTCACAAAGACTGTGAGACAGGGAGGCTCAATCAGACAGGTACATTCAGACACTAAACACTGCATGGTTTATCAGTCCTCACACCTCTCTCTTTGACACACTAGGACAAAAACATGTAAGCAACACCCAGATCTCACTCACTGTGAACTCGGCACCATTCTTCATAAGAACAGCTTTAAATGTGTCAAACGTAGTGTTTTTCTCAGCAAGGCTTATGACAAACTCGGCTGCAGAGAAGAAGCAGAAAGTAAATCAGAGCACAGGACTGGAAAGAGTACAAACAGCAGGGCAAAAATTGTTCTGTGGCATCTGGAATATCGTGTCCAGTTCTGGGCCCCTCAGTTCAAGAAGAACAGGGAACTGCTTGAGAGAGTGAAGTGCAGAGCTACAAGGGTGATTAAGGGAGTGGAGCATCTCCCTTACAAGGAAAAGCTGAGGGAGCTGGGGCTCTGTAGCCTGGAGGAGACTGAGGGGTGACCTCATCAATGTTTATACATACATGAAGGGTGAGTGTCAGGAGGACAGAGCCAGGCTCTTCTCGGTGACACCCTGTCCTGGTTTCAGCTAGGAAAGAGTTAATTTTCTCCTAGTAGCTGGCAGGGCACTATGTTTTGGATAAGGATGAGAAGAATATCAGTAACACCGATGTTTTAATTGTTGCAGAGCGGTGCTTGCGCTAAGCCGAGGACTTTTCAGCTTCTCCCTCTGTCCTGCCAGGTTCCCCTTAAATACGAGACAAAACTTTTTAACGCTGAGGGTGGCAGAGCCCTGGGAGGGGCTGCCGGGGGGGTTGTGGGCTCTCCTTCCCCGGAGACATCCAAAACCTGTGGGACCTGACCCAGGCGTCCCTGCTGCAGCAGCGGGGCCTGGACCAGGCGATCCCTCGAGGCCCTTCCTCCCTCAGGCCCCTTCCAGGCCCTGCCGCTGGGATCCCCGGATTTGTTTACATGGCGGCGCCAGGCCCGGCCGTGGCGCCCTACCCGCCGCCGCCTCGTCCCCACTCACCCAAATCCTTGTCGTTGATGCCCAGGTGGTTGTCCAGCTCCGTGCACACCTTGGAGACCAGCGACAGGTACTCGAGCTTGGCGAGCTCCTCCAGAGCCACCAGGTCCGCCATCGCTGCCCCCTCACCGCCACCACCACCACTTCCGCATCCGGCCGGCGCCGGAAGCCGCGAGGGGGCGCCGCACGCAGCCTGCCCACACTGACCATAGAGAGAGACGCGGGCGTGCTAGAACGCCTCGCGCCCACACTGACCATAGAGAGAGAGGGTCCTCCACGCTGATCGGGAGGGAACCAATCAGCGCAGCCGAAGGGGCGAGCGGGGCTCGTGACGCGTCTGTTGCTAGGCGCTCCCCGCCGCCGCCATGTCGGCCTTCCACTGGGAGGCGCGGCGCAGGCAGGCGGCGCTGGAGCGGCGGCTGCGGGTGAGACCGGGACCGGGACCGGGACCGGGACCAGGAGGAGGCGGAGAGCGGCCCCGGGCTCGCACTCACCGCCCCCTCCCTGTTGCTTCCAGGCCATGGCGAGCCTCGAGGGGGACCCCAAGCACAGCCCCGGCACCGGCGTGACCCCGAGCCCGCCGCCCGGTGAGGGGAACGGGGCCGGGAAGGGGGTGAGGGGAGCGGGGGGGGCTCTGAGGCAGAGCGGCTCACGGCGGCTCCGGTCCCTCCACAGAGCCTCGGGTGTCCCGCTGCTGCCGCTGCCCGTGTCACCGAGCACCCACCACCAGCGCCAGGCTGCCCGACCGCTTCACGGTAAGGGCCCCGGCACCCAGCGGAGTCCCGGGGAACGGGCGTTAATTTCTTGGTGTGACTCCTCCTGGGCTCTGTTTGTGGTTTTATTGTTATCACTTCTTGCTTGGTTTCAGTAGGGCTCAGAGCGGTAAGGAGGCGGTTGGTGAGTCCTTTGTGAATAACACGGAGTCAGCCCTCAGCTCCGTCACACCCCGAGGAAACCGAAGTGGTTTTTCACGCAGTGCTGAGCTGCTGAAGGATTAATAATATCGCTGTTTCACTTTTAGGCTCTGCAGTACTTGCAGCAATGGTAAGACAGGAGTAGGCTGCAGGCCAGAAGTAAAGACCCAGGATCTCCATCAGAAGTGGACAGGCTTCGTGAATCCAGCACTACGAGTGTACAGCATTAAGGGGCAGTTTCACCACCTCCAGCAGTAAAAGCTAATCCTTAAGTAAAACATCACATCTCAAAGGAATCCTGGTTCTATCATGTCCTGTCCTTCCCTCCTCAGAGCCCTTTCCCACAGCCAAACTCCTATTTCTTGCCCGCAGAAGTGCTGTTGCCAGTAGCGCCTGACTCCAGGATTACTGGCTGATTACTCCAGGATTAATTAGCTGCTCGAGGGAGGAAGGTGCCTAGTTACCAGTTCAGTGTGATGAGACAGGGAGAAGCAACACTGCAACAGCTCTGTAAGAGTTAGGTGTTTGGGGAACATGTTTTGAAGAAAGGAGCAGAGGTTTTCTTCTGACTGCACCTGACACCCTGCTCTGCCTTCCAGTGGGCAGAGAAAGTGCTCAGCAGTGGAGTTAAAAGTTTTGTCCCGAAACTCCCTGGCTACTATTTGACCAGGCAGCACCCACACTAGAACCCGAGGCATACATTTAACTCATCCATGGCATAGGGAACACTAGTGTCAGCACACAGAAGGCTGCCAGGGCTGTTCTTGTAAAAGGCTCTTGGGTTGTCTTGCAGCTGTGCACAAACTAAAACACAGAAGAGGTCTGTTTCCTGACATTTGAGCAAACTATGCTTTTCTCACTCATGCTTGCTCATGTTCAGAGCATCCAATGTTAAAGCGTACAGGAAAGCAATTCAACAAACAGGTACCAGCTACCACATACCGCTGGCTGGAAAACAGCAAGTCTTCCACATTTTATCCTTACTGAAATGGATCCCATTACAGAACACCTGGAGGATGATCTTATTTTAAAATATATATTTATGTATAAAAAGACAAATCAAGGCATTGCATTCTTGCCTCCTACACCAGAGAGCTCAAACAGCAGGTATCAGAGTCACTCTCACGTGGTGTTTTGGCACGATATGCAGTAGGTTGTGAGTTTTTTTAAGAGAAAAAAAAAACAATATAAGAGACATCAGTCCTGTTTCTTGCTCCCATGGAACAGGTTGTGCAAGTGTCAGACACTGGTGATACAGATGTGATCCAGCCACGTCTCACCCCAGTCCCTTTGCAAGTTGTGAACTATTAAATTCAGGACATCAGTACAAAATTGTGCAAGGAAGAAACAAGTAGGGTTAGACTAATTGGCCACCACCTCTGATGGAGCAGTGAAACATGGCAGAGTGTGACACCCCATCCTCTGGCCACTCAGCTGTAGGGTCAGCCATGATAAGGAACTGAAAGAAAAAAAGCTGCAGTCTAGGGGCAGTACAGTCCCAGTACGTTACCATCTTCACAAGGGAGATGGGAGCCTTGCCCAGCAAACACCAAGCCTCCTGGCTTAAGGCATGGGTTGAGAAGCAGCCCCACGAGTTTGTCTCCCTACAACTTGCCTTTGTGATGGAATGCCCAGCACCCAAAAGCTCTGCCAGCCTGGCCCTGTCACGGTGGGCGGCGGTACAGTGCGTGAGGTAACGTAGCGTTCCCCCGGCAGTCCACGTACTGGTAGTCTTCAAAAGCCACCTGCTCCGAGTGACACAGGTACGTGCAGGTCAGGGTACCCCTGCAAGGCAAAAGCAGAGCAGAGCTGCACTTGGATTGTCCCAGGAAAGACTTCTCATAATGCACAGGTCCTGTGGTGAGCTTCCACTGCTGTCCTCTCCTGTCCCAATGACACAGCCCCAGAACACAGCAGCTGAGATATCTTCAGCTCAATTTCACACGGTGGAGTGGAAAAGCATCTTTCAGATGGCACCAGGAAAGCAGGCATAATCAAACTAGTAATAAACTTCCAGCTCTGGGACAAGGAGCTACTTCACAGCTACAATTAGTATTACGGACAGAAGTTTGCCAGGCCTGCTTGCCGTATAACAAAAGCTCAAGCTGTCACTGTTGCTTACATGAAGTCTGAATCCCAGGGACTTCTCAGCACCAGTGGCTTTGGAGAATTATCCCCCCCACACACCTCAGGACACCCATCTAGGTAACAGCACATTCGCACTGAAGGCAGTTCTGGTCTTAAAGAGCACTGACAGGCTGATCTTCTTTTAGAATGGTGTCCAAGAAACAAACGCAGTTCACACACGTGTTACTTATAGCTCTGATCCAGGCAACACTTACTGTAGGTGCAGCAGAACATTGTGAACTCTGACTTTTGTCCAGGTGCAAATGTTACTGCAAGAGAAAACAGAATTAATTTCATGGGAGCTGCCTGCACCACGCATGTCCTGTCCTCAGTCATTCCACTGTTTCTCTGCTTCTTTAAAAACATCTCTGTGAATTATTCTAACAACTATGCAGTCAGAATTCTTTGAGAACAGCTCTTTCTACACCAGTAGAAGATGTTTTTGCCAGTATAACACAACTGAGGATTTAGTAAGCACAGGTCTTGTATATATGCAATGCAAAGTCTGCCTGCACAGAAGCTTTGGTTACCATGAACTCTGCATAATTTGCTGGTTACTTGCAGAGAACTGCAGTTTGCATAAGGTACAATTCCTCTAGCTTCTCACAAATGAGAGATTAGAAGTTTACAGCCTAGACATTGAACTGATACCATCGCTTCCTCATCAGAACGTATGGAAAACAACATTGTTGAGCCAACACTAAGCAGAGAATAGAAAACAAGCTTAAAATGAACGTGCCAAACTTTTATCCGGATCGACTCCATGCAGTAAACTGAAAAGAACGAACTCACTTCACTGCAGACAGGACCAGTGCAGGAAATCTAGTCATAAAATGCCTACAAGCACTAGGGTTACTTAGTAATCAAAGAAGTCTTTATGAATTACTCACTAAGTGTTGTCATCCGATATAATACTGGCCACCATGTAATAGATCTGAAGAGAGCAAGAAACAAGAACTAGAGTTACATTTGCATACAACTGAAAAACTAAAAATAGCCAGAGTTGGACTGTCATTAGGTGTCTTAAACTGCATTTCAAGCCTAATTCAATGCAATTATTAACAGTATGTAAAAAAATAATCAGAAATTCAGTCCAAAAAGACCTTAAGAGGGCCATCTAGGCCATACACGACCTTCACAGTAAGGATGGATCAGCTGCACTCAAAGTGCTCCCTCCAGAGTCTTATCTAAGAAGACAGATATGCATTGCCAGAAGTTGGTATGGCTTCAACCCAGCAACAGGTACATTTTTAGATCACACTTCCTGGAAGTGGGATGTAGGAAGCTCCATGTTGAGGGACTTTGAGTATTTGGGAGGTATATGACAAAGGAGTGGGTAAGTGTGCAAAAAAAGGACCTCCCTGCCTAGGACATCCAGATTAGTTTAGAAGGAAATGCAAGAAACACCAGAGCTTACCTGGCCGCTCTGCAAAGGGCTGACATTCAGCAGGGTTTTCACATTGGTCTTCCCTACTACCAGGGACTGGTGCAAAACCTCTATGTCTAGTTGCACAGCAGTGACCAGGTAGAAGTTGCTATTAGTTATATTCAGCACATTCTGAGGAAAGAAAGACAAAAACCACCCTGTAGCAGGGCCACGGGCTATTGTTGCCAAGTAGCTTCAAATGTGTTCCTGTTATGGTCTTACAGCAGCAGCACAAAATATACTCCTGATATTGCTTCCAAGCAGCCTGAGATTAAACTGAAATGGCAGGAATGACAAGACTGACATCAGCCAGCCATCGGCTAGCCAGCCTACATGGAATGGCACAGGAGATAAGCAGGGAGCCCTAAAAATCTGCTTGATTGAGAGCTGAGCGAGCACTTACTGTCATATTGAGGTATATACTGGTGGTATTGACATCAAAACCAATGGAGGAGGCATTCAGCCCTGCAGGCAGCACAGTAATGGAGCGAGGAAACAGGAAGAAGATACTGAGAGATGTCATCAGCAGGCAGATTGTCACAGCAAGACATACGTAGAGTTTCCTGCAAAATACCACCAAGGCCACAGTCACTCATGGTTTGTCACCCTTGTCACAAGCACCTGCAGCCCTGCTCCAGCTGAAAGCCAAGGGACAAGAGGAATACCAGAAAACAGAACTATTTGCCAGCTCCCAAACCACAGTAGAAGCAGGATAGAGTCCCACACAGCGGCATGCAGAATTAGAGCAGAGATCACTGGAGATCCCCAACAACTGGGCATTTCCTCCCCCACAAAAGACTGTCCAACACCTACTGCTGAAGACATCGTGGACACCAAACTTACCGCAAGCCAGAGCACAAACAGCAAAACACCCACAAGACTGATGCTTCCCTCTGCACACAGAACAAACATTCAAAAGATGAGAAAAATAATTCATTTAGTAGGACTTACGTTCGTCTGGGCTTCAGCCTCTGGTCACCATATGGAATCAGTGCCACCAGCTGCTCCTCTTGCTCTGAAAGAGGCAGCGGCAGATCAGAGACCACACAAGTGAATAAAGCAAACTGCATTGCAGCTTAATGTCTGCCCATGCTTACAGGTCCAATTTAGAAGGCAAGTGTGAGGTAATTAAGAGTTAAGCTTGGGCATTCTCAGTTTGGAACTGAAACAACTCCTCAGGAGCTCCTTAACAGGCTTCAAATATTATCTAAAAGCAGCACTATCTGCTTTCCCACCCCATTCTCCCCCAGCAGGGGCACCCATGGAAGTCACTGGTGAACCAGAGATGAAATGGTTCAGCCAAGGTCTTTGGGCAAAGAGCCACATTCCTACCTCAGAAGTCTCTAAAAACACAGAGGCAGCATGCAGAAGAATTACATACCCCTGGGGATCCTTCCTGTTCCCTGGCATGTTGGGCAATTGACGTAGCTTCGACGTAAGATGCCTGCACCAAGCATGCCGGGTGTAGCAGAATCTCCTCCGTTGATGCTCGCATAATTGGCGATTTCATCTTCAGCATCCAGTTGCCCAGGTAAGATCAGCTTCCCTTCGCTCTCCTTTTGGGCAGATGTTTTCCAGAACTGTGAAATTTTTCCACCCATGGCTGAAGGAAAAATTCTGTGTCCAACACGAAAAAATGCATTAAGAACATTGCCTGGGTAAATCAATCTACAAGAGCAGCACCAGTCAGTGTTTACAGTAGGAGATCACGAGTATCACACTATTTACATTTGTTAAGTTTCCTAAAGCACAGCTCTGAAAGTTGCTTTAAAAGATGGGTGACTCTATCTTTTAAATATTCAATCTCCCAGACACTCTAGTTGCAGGAAAAAGTCTGAGGATGCCACTTACAAACATGCCAGATTCTTCACCTCATGGTATTTGGTAAAAAGAGTGGAATGCTGACTCAAAGCACGTGAACATTTTAAGATAACAACGTCGCTCAGAAGTACAACTCTCAAATTCTTGCCTAGTCTTTACTCACGTGTATCCCCTTGGCAGTCCTCATCTAGCCTGAGTAAAATCAAATAGTACTCAAACAATGTAAAAACATAAACTATCTTTAGATTCCGTAGCCTTATGTTATCTCTAAAAGTTAAAGTGGCAGCTGAACTCATTTTCCCAGGCTTCTGATGGTTAAATTCTCAGCTCCTAGTAATCCTCTCAACAGCATTAACGATACCAAGCAGAGAAAACGATGCATCTTCATCACAAAAGGCATCACTTGAACCCAGTTTGCTACTGGTGACAGTCTTTGCTGTAGGCAGTCTGGTTTCAGCGACTCAGAGGTAGGATGCTTAGCTTTGATACCATTTGCCCAGATGATAGAGAGGCTTTGAGTGAATAACCCCTCAGGGCTCTATTACAAAACATGCCAGGGAGGAAACATCACCACCTGCTAGTGGAGAACCACCACGAGAGTCAAAGTGCATAGAATCACAGGGGATTTATCGCTCAGCCCAGAAACCAGAGCATATCTGAGAGCTGATTCCAGGGGCAGCTCCTTTCACAGCTGACAAGGGAAGAATCAGGATCTCATTTATCCAGGGGCAGGACATGGCTGCAGCCCTGCAGAGCCGCAGAGGAACCTTCCGCAGCCTTGAATCCCCCGGACTTGAGGAGGTTCTGCAAGACAGATAACTGTGTGCTGCAAGGGGGTGGGGAACACTAAGTAAAAGAGAAGGATGAGGACACCTGAAGGATTTGGGCTTCCCCAACACAGGAAGAAAAAGGGCCCTGTTACCATAGGGACTGTGTTACAATCTCAGCAGTCTCTTGAACGCCCCAGGAAGCAAAGCTGCAGCTTCTCTAATCTCTCAGTTAATGTTTACCAGCTTTTTCAGAAACAAGCAGTGAGGAGAAGTAACAGATTCTTCACGCAGCTGGGACAAACAACCAGGGAAGCTGGGAAAAGACTCACTTGTGTGTATCAGGGAGACCAAGTGCAAGCCGCAAGCAGGTGGAGAAGTTCACCTCAATCAAGTACTGCCCCCAGGCAGTCCTAACCCACACACCCTGCCCCACACACCACTATCCTCAGGGACAGTCCTGAGGTCTGTCAGGGGAAGTGGAAGGTAACCAGAGGTAAGCTTTGATAGGGATCAGGTCCCCTCACCTTGAACCACCACAGGGACACAATGAGCTCCTGCAGGCCCGACTGCCCCTGCGCCATGGCCAGCCCCAGCCCCACTGTTCTGAGGGGGCTTCTCTGGGCCCAGCCCCACACTCCCCCAACAGCAGCCCCAAGCCCCCAGCAGCCCTGCCAGAGGCCACCGGGGGCTGGAGCTGCTTGGGGTCCCTTCCAGCCACCCCGCTTACCGGTCGCCCACCACGGGTGGCTGCTGAGCCCAGAGAAGCGGAACCGAAAGCAGCGCGGGGCGGGCTGCGATCCTCCCCGGAAGGGAAGCGGGGGCGGCCGCCCAGCTGGGGCCCTGGTGCTGCCACGGGGGAGTGAGCAGCTGGGACAGCCCTGGATGCCCACAGCCCAGACCCAGAGCTCCATCCAGAGCTGCTTGTGAAAAGCCCCATGAGAGCCAGCCAAATAAAGAGCTTTATTGTCAGCAGAGAGAAGAAAGGTGGTTTTCTGCCCTCCTCCCCTTTCCTCCCCTTCCCCAAGACACTTGACTTTAAAACGTTCACCCTCAATAAGATACAGAGGTCACGTTTTGCACTATAGAATATATTATAAATTATACCATGCATCCATTAACAAAATATACAAAGCCAACGGAAATACATCTTAAGCCCGAGCATACATTATCTAAACCCTAGTAAAAAGTAACCTAAGGAAAACAGCATTTCACACTTCACCTTTCAATCTGCAATGAAGTGCTTTTTCCTCATACATTTTAGTGTTTTGTTAATTTACAGAATACATTAAAATCCTAAGTTGAAAGGTACACACAGAAATAACAAACGTCCTGCTGGGCATTCCAGATCAAAGCAGACAACCACACCAGGCTTAGGAATTTCACCAGCTACTGCACTTCATCCATGTCCTTTCCTCCTCCTCCTTCTATAGTAAGCATAAGCCAAAGGTACTCAAAACAGTATGTGTAAGTTACGGTTGGAAAATCCAGGAGTTTCAAGTTACAGAAAGATCTTCATCTGGTCCACAGCAGACAGTTGCACTGGGGTACAGACAGATGGGAAACATACTGCAAAATAGTCCTACTGTATTTCAAAATAAACATTTAAGAGTATATCTTCCACAATCTATAAAAATAGGTTTAAAACAGGAACAGTATGATACATTTTTTTCTTCATTTATTTTACTGGTATTTTATCTCTGAGGGTATTACGTCTTTTGAAAAAAAACATTACTACTACTGATCACCTGGTCAGTTACAATACTGATAACTGCTTCAGCTACATTGCACCTAAACAGAAACACCTTATTTTGAAGCAGCAATAATATAAATATGTTACTATCAATCGTCTCTTCCTGCAGCAAGAAAGTTTGCTCAAAAAGAACGTAGCCAACACTGCTGTCACTTTCAGAGGACCAAACTGAACAGTTCCCTAAGGATACACCACTGCACAGCAGTGTATGTTGCTGGTTTCTTGTGATTCTTCAGAATCAAATCTCCTCTCGGCATGTTTAGAAGGGAATTCTTAAATTTCAAATTAAATAGGGGTATGCAAAGTAAAATCTTGTGAGAAGGTGAGTCCTACAGATGTGTCTATGGAAACACAGCTAGAACCATCACAGGAGACCGTACACTTCACACTGCTTAAGTTACTACATTTTTTCAAAGTATAAAAAGTCACACAATCCCTACCTCGAACATTCTTCCCATTCTCAAACATTACCAGAATTTGTACTTCAATTCAGATCTGACTTTTTACACATTCTTCAATTCTTCTGTGTGGTATTAACAGGTTAAGAGGTTTGATAAAAAGAAGATAGGGGTCAAGTTTAACGTTTTTATGAGGAACCTCTAAATATTCTTAGAAAGGCCCTTCCCACATTTACAAATCCATCTTTAACCACATATTTTTACATAGGCTATATTTTCTGTTAGAGATATGATTTGCATTATTACTAGAGATGGTTCAATGGTAAAAATCACATTCATGCTTTATTCTGCTATACGAATAAATGACTTTCCTGGTAAACGTCAGTTTAAATTAACAGTGGTTGTGATTTCAGACTGAGAACTGTTCGATGGTTCAAGACTCATTTCAGTCTATAAGCAATTTTTTTTCTTAGAATGACTTGTAAGATTTAAATCTGTTACATTACTATCATGCATTGGACAAAAAAGATCAATGACTAAGTTACATAAGAAGAAACAGCTTCCTGTTTGTGGGCCTCTCTTGTAGATCAGGCATGACTACATTTTACAGAAACATTTTACATTGCTTCCTATTCCAAAGTTTGTTAAAAGTCAACAAAACAAGAGCCCCAGCTGCCAAAACTATTTTACATACAGTAAAAGGGGAAGTTCTCATCTGGGTGCAAGTTTAAGTCATTGTCTACAATTCCCAGATAAAAAGGATCCAGTATAAAATGACAAGACTTCAAGACCACTCATTTCACCAGGAGGTCCAAAGTATAGTTGGAATTCTGGTCTCCAATTCATAAAATGCTGTGACAAGCAGTTTGACATTTCCATGAAAGAAAAAAATAAATCAAAAGCTCAAAGAAAAGCTAAAGTTATCTACACCTCCAAATAGAACACAGATGAGGAACAGCCTGCTACTGTTGCAGTGTTTAATGAGAGTTTGCTCAATTAAGGTGATTCATTGCTCCACCAGGAAGGTTCAGCACCTACTGCTGTACCAGTCACTGTTACTGATCTGAAGCAATTCAGTTACCACTTGAACCATGTTATTGTTGTGTTTCTTCAGCAGTCGCAGGTTTAACTGCCTGTCACAGAATCCCATCTCGCACAGACTGGATAGAAGAGCAGCAGTGTGCTCTTCTGTAGCAGCAGGCTGCAAAAAACAAAAGATATGAAGAGATCATTTATTATCTTACTTTTCCCATTTCAATCAGTGGTCCTGCATTACACCAAAATATAATTAAGGCACTGAGGCCCTTTGTCTGCAATTAAGCTGTTGGTGTTCACTTCCATTGTTCGCTTACAAAGGTGAATTACTGCTTTTGCATGATGCTTTAAGAGATACTTCATCCCCACAGCATGGATTTCCCTATCTGCTGGTGAAGCAGCATACTTCAAGGGGATGCCATAAAGCTTAAGGTCTTACTATTCCTGCAGTGCGTTGCAAAATATATTCTGTATACAGAATTCCTATACAGAATGTTGATACATTCATAAAACATACAAAATTCCAACCTTAAAACTTGTAGTGTAGGTGTAAAATTCACACAGTATACAGGAAAAAGACATTTACCTGTTCTGTAATGGGTGGTCCAGCAAATAATGCTTTGTAGGCTGAGGCAGCAACTGATAAAGCTCCTTTAACTAGTTCTCCTGCAATACTGCTTCCTTGTGGGTGTCTGCAGAGAAGATATTACTTTAGGTGTCAGCAAAGCCACGTGTGCATGCAAGTCTCTCCCCATTAGTTGGCTGAGACTTAATTCTTGTCAGAGAACAACCCCTTATCCAAAGGAATCCCCACCAATCAAGCCATTTGGGAAAGTCACTGCTTCTTTCTTGACACTTTCTGATAAACTTTTTATGCTAAAGTTTTGTTAGCCTATTTTCCATTTGCCACTGTTTGAAAGGAATTAAGTACTGTCACCCAGAAGAATGCATCTGTATGTGGAAGTTGTGACACATCCATTCAGGCTACAGCAGCTGGCTTCCACTGATTCCTAGTCACTTAATCTTAAAAGAGCCACAGAATAAACGTCACTTGTGAAGTCACGGCTTCTGTTTCATTACCTTGGGTATTCTGAGAACTTCTGGTTTCTTGTTGTAAATCCAGAAGATCCCGGTCCGTGACTGTCTTCACCACTAGGTTCTGGAAGAAGCAAAGACACCGTATCAACATGGACAGTAAATGAAAAGCTGAAGTGCTGTAACACGTATGTAAATGGAAAGGAGTGGGAATCAGTCCAAGTTAATACTTTCAAGTTTAGTGATCCAGATGCAACCTAGGTATGCAAGATTCTCATAACATTCCTGACTATGAAAAGAATTCCAGGAATCATTTGGCTGATTAGTCAGTGGTTATCTGCTTTACCATGAGATGAACTGCTGTCTGAGCCCGAAATAACTGTAACAATAGCTTATACACAAGGCTCTAATTCCAGCGCAAAGTAATATTCCATATTTATGCAAACACTTCTGAGTACCCTCTTACCATTTCTAATAAATGCTCTTTTAACCTGGATTCAGAAAGCTGTATTGCTTTCTACAAATCTTCTGTATAGTAACATTTTAAACACCCAGAGAGAACTAAACATTATTACTTGGCTAGGTCTCTGCTCTCCTCTGGAACAAGACAACAAATCCAACCACAGGTATAAGGAACAGGAGATAACCACGAATGCACCCTTCAGTCAGTACTGTCAATACCTTCTCTTATTTGATTGTGAGTAGTGGAAGAGACATTCTCTGGAGCTGGTACATTTGGTTCTTGGAAGATACAATTCTGAAGAGATGCAAGATTCCTGAGAACATAAGGCAAAAAATTACTTTTACCACTTTCATTCTACACATAGACATGCAGGCAAGTCAAGATCTACAGGCAAAAGGAAGATCTTCACAGATTCCCTTCTTCCCTTCCCTACTCACTGATTAGCTAAGTGCATAAGGTTTTATAAAGAGTTATAGGATATAGGACATTCACTCCATCATATACAACACTGATTTTGTTGCAACCAGTTCTATTTGAATATTGAACTTGAGTGCAATTCCCCGCCCTGTTAAGCCTGCAGCCATTAACATAATGGCTTTGTTCTGAGAACATACCTTTCTGTCTGGGGTAAGGTATCCGTGGTCTCTGGGGTCAAGGGTACTACAGGCAGCGTTTGTGGTGTTGTCGAAGTATCACCAACACTGTGTATCTCTGGCTGACTTCCCCCATCTTGCCCTGCTCCTGTTTCAGTTTCTCCCGTCTTTTCCAGGCTGGGCTGAGAAAGAGCTGAACTATACATGGACTCCC